ACTTTGCGTAAGCAAAAAATATAAAACCGGACTTTTTATTTTTCTTATATAGTATCACGACCCTGCATGTTGTTAGACCCTAGAGGGTGGGGGGGGGGGGGGGATCCGATTTTATGCCAATTAAAACTAATTCAAATATTATTCTTGCAAGATAAATATACAATATGATATGAGCAAGAATATGCAATATGAACAAAGAGATATATCCTAGCAAAGAGGTATATGATAAAATATATGCAATGATATATAAACTAACACAATGGTGACATAATCAAACTACAAATGTGATAGGGCAAAATATACAAGAGTAATAGATAATTGGCGATATAAGATAAATGCATAAGTAAATGCGTCAAAAACAAACTCAAACACACTCAAATGATCACGGAGTTCGGACCTTCCGTCCAACGTTTCCGCTCCCCACTCCCGGGGAGAAATCCACTATCACAACCAGGTTTTTTACGCTTACCCGAATAACGTTTACACCTCACAATATCGGTTTTTAACGCTCACCGATCAACGTTCACACCTCACACTCTCACTCGGTTTTCTAGCTCACCGAAAACTTTACAATCTCACAATATAATAAATGATTTGTTCTCTACAATAGATGAGAACTCAATGTAGGCTCACACTCAATGTTACAACTCTCACCAATCCAAATAAATAATATATGAAAATACAATAAGCTCAAGTGGGTGTGTGTAAACAATGAGTGAAATAAAATCAACTAAACTCAAATGTAAATACTAGCTTAATAGAAATGATAATCAATAAATAATTATAAATAAAAGCTATAATTGAGTTTAGAAAAACTTCTCTAGATGACAGGAGAGAGAGAGAGAGCTGGATTGAAGCTCAAACAGCAAGTGATGATCTCTTCTAGCTATTGTGAAATTAATTTCACAAACTCAAACTCTCAATTGCTTAAAAGCCTTTTAAACAAACTTTAAACAAAACTTAAACCATTGTTAAAACATTCTAAAACTTATTTAAAACACTCTCATTATGTAGGAAATGATAAATACAATGGGGTATATATAGGGTAGAAGAAAACAACCCCAAAAAACTACTAAAAGACAAAAATCAGCAAGTTACCGTTACTGTGCAACGGTAACTTCGGTCGACCACGGTCGAGCGGTCGACCACGGTCGAGCGGTCGACCATGAGAAGCAAAACTGCAAAACTGCTCTCTGGACTGCTGACGGTCGACTGTGGCGGTCGATCGTACTGTAGCACGGACGACCGTGACGGACGACCGCACTTTTCTAGGTTTTGACAGATACTGGAATTTTGTATATCTGACTTCGTAAAATCAATTAAAAATAGTAAATCAAATCCAAAAATCATGAAATTTTTAGGAAAGGTTCTAGACATGTATATAAATATGTTAGAGAAAGAATTTCTGAAATATCACTTCCCAGTTGAGAGAAATAAATGTTTTAACAAAGATATATAGTTTCTAAAAAAACTGCTGAAAACTCGGTTTTGTAAATTCAATTGAAAATAACAAAACAACAAAAACTGCTGAAAACTCGGTTTTGTAAATTCAATTGAAAATAACAAAACAACTTCAAAATTAGTAAAACTTGGGAAAATATAACAAAACAACTTCAAAATTAGTAAAACTTGGGAAAATGTTTGTATATATGAAGATAAACATGTAAACGAAGAATTTTTTCAAATAGTATTTTCTAATTGTGAAAATGCATCAGTTTTGTAAAAACATGCACGGTCACATGCACGTACATGAACAAAAAAACTCGGTTTTTCCAAAAACGAGTTCAAACAACTTGGAAACAGTTTAGAATGGATTTGTAGACATTATACGAGATATGAAAATAGTGTGAACAAGTTTTTAATCCATAAACTTAATATTTTTCTAAATACAATAGAATATGAAACAAACAAAAGTGTATATGAAGATATATATTGTTTCATTAAACTAAATTATCCAAGCTTGATCTTGATCTTCAATAAGCTTGACTTGGTACACTTACGGAAGAAGCTTGAACTTGTATCTTTAACTTGAGTGTACATTGCTTCACTTCACTATTCGCCAACCTCCATTGAATATGATCGTTGAAGCTCTATTCCATCCATCCTCCAACATATTATTTTCCTAGAATAAATATAAAACACAAACACTAGACAAATAATATTAGATGTAAATTGTTTGTAAATCATCATCAAAACAAGAAGGCCACCTCCATTGAATATGATCGTTGAAGCTCTATTCCATCCATCCTCCAACATATTGTTTTCCTAGAATAAATATAAAACACAAACACTAGACAAATAATATTAGATGTAAATTGTTTGTAAATCATCATCAAAACAAGAAGGCCAACACGTGTGACTTTATTTAGGGGTATGACTACTAACAAAGGATCAAATCTTAAAGACATTATCAAATATAATGATGTAATAGCACTATTATAATTCAATATCTCTAAGTATGAAGGTAGTATATTTTATTAGTAAAATTCTTATTAAAGGCCACTAAATATAAAATTCACCTTATATTTGTCTCAAATTACAGAGGAGATATGCATGTCATCGTAAATTGCGTCAATAATATATATCAATCCAAAGATACAACATACTGAAGATATAAGAGAATAGTAAGTAAACCGAGCAAACATCCATATAACACCGTAAAAAAAATCTTACATGTTAAAGCTAATATGCAACGTTCTTTTAGAGTAAACTGCCGAGACAAAAACATCTCCATTAAGGCTCTTTATAAATGCAACAGAAATTTAAATTACTAATATATACAACCATTATAACATTTGAAAGAGGTATGATCTTAGAAAACCTACTCTAAAATATACAACCATTATAACATTTGAAAGAGGTATGATCTTAGAAAACCTACTCTAAAATTCATATAATTAAACCTAAGAATAATAAGAGGTATGATCTTAGAAAACCTACTCTAAAATTCATATAATTAAACCTAAGAATAATTTACCAATATAGAGACACACTATCGCACCTTTAAGGCAACGATAACTGACATTTATAATAGAGTTGAGCAGTGATTCTATGTTTGCAAAGGCTACCATAAGAAAGTGGATAAATATATTAATAATAAATGTCCATATGATAAATGTTGTAGAATCGCCTATGATTTAGTACCAAAGTTAAGTGTTATCCCTTCTTCATGAAATAAATATATCATAATTAAATATTAATATTATAATCTAAAGCAAATTGACAATGAAAAATTTAATATATTTAGTTTAGATCATCCTGGAAAATAACACATACAAAGCAAATATAACATTATGACACAACAGAAATTCTTATTGGATGCATAACAGAAGAATTAATTACAAAGAAAAAAGAAGTAGCTACTAACCTTATTTAAGTAATAAATTAAAAGCATAAATTTTTTTATATATATGAAATTAATATTTATTCTTATTGAAATAGGAAAAAAATCAAAGTCCGTAATGTCAGAAGTTTGTGTTGAATATAAGAAATATATTCATCTTCTTTGTGAATTTAGACGAGAAGACAAAAGATGAAAGAGCCCAAGAAAAGATAACATGCTCCGGTCTCATATCAAAATCGATGTAGATGATGAAGACACTACTACTCTAGAATTGGCTAGGAAAAAGATAAAGATAAAGAATGATTGATCTTGACTCAATAAAAAATAAAATAGAAGTAACAAAAGATAATATTTTGTGAATTGTTATAGAGTAGTTTTATTTTTTAGTAAAATTAGGAATATTTAGAAGGGATTTTCATAAACTATTTAAGTGCTTTCATATACATATGTGGATGCTTTTATCATATAAAAGTGTACTAGAGTTAGCATTAATCTCCAGTTAATGATTTTTTCATTAATCATTTCTGTCATTTTAGCCCATTTTAAATCAATCATCTTGGCTCGTTGGCTTTATTATTCATCTTCCTTTATAATGTTATTTTTTTAAGTGTTTTCATTTTCATAACACTATACTTCCTCAGGTCAAGCTCGGTTTCATGCCGATCCAAATGAAATGAAAATTTAAATTGGCTTTAGATTAGATTTATCTCCTCACAATTCAACTATCAGCATAAAAATTTAAACTGGATGTAGCCTATTCAAACAAACATCAAATAAATAAATAATCAAAGTATAATCAAGGAACAAATTTTAGTAGAAAATAAACAAAAAACACTTAATCAAAGTGAGCAAAAATTATTATCAAAGAATAACCGATGAATAAATTTTAGTAAGAAAATAAACAAAAAAATACGTAATCATGTTATTCAACGACATGCATTAGATGTGCATCTCAACGAGTAAAAATAAAAAAATCGAAGTATTGATTTTAAACTTAAGGTGATTTTGGATTTTTTAAAAAATCCCCCCCCCCCCTTTATAAAAATGATGTTGGGTGAGAGAGTACAGGAAATCCTACATAGAACTAAACAATCTCTCCCTCCGAATTCCTCCAAAACCCACGCTCTCCTTTCTCCCTCTTTCTCACGCCTTCGGTGAATATTCTCCTCTTAAATCCTGGCAGCGACGACCTAGGGTTTTTAGTACTCTCCCAGCACACAGATAACTCCGCTCAGTTTTCAATTTTCCTCCCTCTCGCTCCGCCCCCCCTCGTCTCTAGTTAGTCGATTAATTAATTAAGAGAAGACGCAAGAAATTGGAAACCCTAATAAAATCTGGTTAGGGTTTGAATCCGTCCTCACATACAAATCCAGCAGCAGCAGCCATGGATGATGAAGCGCGCGCCATTCACTTTGACTTCGAGGGCGGCCTCGAACGCCGCCCCTCCCCCTTGCTACCACTGACCCTAATCCTCCATCCGCATGCCCGCCGCCGCGCCGCAGCCAACCCTTGATCCCCTCCTCCGATCCGGATCCAATCCGTTAGCATCCGCAGCAGCGGCCGCCCAGACGGGCTCGAGATCCGTCAACAACGGCGACTCTCGCTCCTCGCGGGCGGCGGCGGGGGAGGGGAGGGAGCCAGCGGCGAGTCTTTCCGGCAGACGGTGTGGCAGGCACTGCTGAGGAGCCTGTGCAATGAAAGCAGACGCTTGTGGGTTCCTCCACCAGTACGACAAGGCGAGGATGCCCGTGTGTCGGTTCTTTCGGCTGTATGGGGAGTGCAGGGAGCAGGACTGTGTTTATAAGCACACTAATGACGATATCAAAGAGTGCAACATGTGAGTAAAGCTTCTTATTTCCCTCTAGCTGCCTTTTTTTTTTCCCGCCGTCTTGAGTATTAGCAAACATTGGTTTCAAGAGTTATAATTAGGATTTGGGAGTATCTATCTTTGATTGGCCTCTAGCATACAGCTTGCATTTAGCTAGCTTGTGGCTTTTTAGACCAACCAGTGTCCGGGTTTTTGCACAAATTAGACCGCTTTTCCATTCGTGGGTCCGTAAGCAAATCAAATTACTCAATTCTTGTATCATTCCTTTTTCATTTCAGTGATATTTACTAGTTGAAGCCCTACTCATTTCAGTGATGTACTATATCCCTTGACATGCTACTACTACCATTCACTTGCACTCTTAACAGTATATCTGCTGCGCATTACAACTTCAAGCCTTTAAGTCTAGGTTTTGGAACTGCATACGGGAAAATTATATTCTATGTTTATATTTTATAAGAAAGAATGCTAGCAGAAGGATGTGCGAGACAATTCTCAATGCTCCTTCTGGACTCCATCCACACTTGCCATTGCCCATGTTAACCTCAGTCCTTCCATGATGCGGTCCCACCTCTTATCACTGGGCCAGTCTGTGGTTATTCACAAATTTTTGACTATCAATTTTTTGGAGTAAGATTTTTTCCTTTCTATTTCTTGGTGGTTTTTATCAATAACAGCTATGTAGTTAAGTCAGCTGACGCAATATGTGATTTTTGAAGTTCTGTGCCCAAATGCTAATTATTTCTGATACAATCTATAACCTGCTCTATGCAACTACTGAAAGCCAATTTTTTTAGCATTTTCTTTGCTATAAAAATTCTGCAAATTTTCACTCTCATCTAATCAGAGACCTTAACTATTAAATCTGTTTATACATGCGTGTGTATATACATGTATGTATGTATATATACATATGTATGTGTGTATTTATTTATTTGTATTTTATATCCTAATGTTACCTCTGCTGCAGGTACAAATTGGGTTTTTGCCCAAATGGGCCTGACTGTCGTTATAGGCATGTAAAACAGCCTGGACCACCTCCCACTGTAGAAGAAGTTTTTCAGAAGATTCAACATTTGAGTTCATTCAACTATGGTTCTGGAAATAGATTCTTCCAACACAAGAACACTGGATATAATCAACAAGCTGAGAGGCCTCAGTTTCCTCAAGGTCCAGCAGTGGCAAATCAGCCCACAGCAGTGAGGCCACCCACTACAGTTGAACCACCAAGCATGCAACAGCAACAACCGCAAACACAGCAGTCTCAACCTCAACATGTTAGAGAGAATCAGGTGCAGAGCGTGCCAAATGGCTCATCAAACCTAGCCAATAGAGCTGCTTCACCGCTTCCTCAAGGGCAATCTAGGTGTGTCTGGAGTTTCTAGATTTATCTGTCTCAGGTTCTGTAAAAATACTTCTTGTAGCATTTTTGTGGTGAAATATTTTCTCAAAAGCCAGCTTAAATTTGTACTTAGCTTCTGTGAGACCTATACTAGTTCTGTCTGGAGCTTATATATTTGGCATTAGCTTGATATTTTGTCTGGAAATCGAGTGAAAAGCATATTGTTCGAATTTTTCTACTGTTGTTGACTATTATTATATTGGTTGTCATTGCTTAAACAGTTTTTTCATAGAAAATTAGTGTGACAAGCATAGGGAAGACTAATACCATTCTAATGTGATATGCTGATCTGTAGCGTATAGGAGTCCGTGATCCCTTGAACCTTAAGTGGTCAGGAATGTTGATGATAATGATATTGCTGTAAGCAATAATAATGTATTATTCTTCTGTTCCTATGTTTTCCATGTTAGGTGCGAGTCGCACCACTATTACAGGTGTCCTTTATTAACGATAATCCATTTTACCAAGCAGCAGTTATGTATTTACTCTTCAGTACTGAAACATGAAGCTATTTTAATATCAATGTGTAGATATAGTTGTAAAATAATTGTCATATTTGTGATGGGTCAATTAAACAATAAAGGTGGAATGAGAAAGCTATAGGCTAGGTTATCCGTACACTTCATCCGGGCTCCCTTATTCGTGTCCGAGACTTTCCGTATCCGTGTCCACGTGCGGCATCCCTTGGACACTTCTTAAGTATTTACATACATTTATTCAGCTGCGTACTCAATTATATAATACACTTTTTAGTTTAAAACACTTTTGATTTACTACTTGGAGATATATCTTGCACTTCACCTGAAATTTCTGCAACCCTTTGGATCCGAGTCAGTTTGTTTAAGCCCATACCTGGTTCATAAGTATGATTTTAAAGGATCATTTGAATATCTAGTTCAAAAACGAGCGGTTTTTCAATTTATAATCTACTCAATAAAAGAAACATAAATATGTTATAGGGATTTTAGTTCTCATAACATGTGAATGAAAAAACAATATTGATTTCTTATAAAATTAGTTTCATTATGTATAGATATAGCCATGTCTCCATATCCTACCTTTTACAATTTCGCCGTGTCCCATATCCGCACCCGTGTCCGCACCCATGTCCATGCAACATAGGCTATAGGTCATCTTTCAAAAGATCATGGAGTCTAAGCAGCTTGTAGACAATCTGAGGCATAGGTTAGACCTGATGCTCATATGCATAACTGCTTTTGATTTAGGTTATATCCTTAATAGATGATAGATGGTTTAGACTGTAGGAGTCATAATGGCCTTATAACTGAGCTATTCATTTATAAATATTTACTTTTATTCATTTTGATTAAAGGGTTTATTGAGCTAACAGACTTTAATTTTCTAATAATTTATTCCATTTATATTCCTGTCTATCATCTATTTCTACCACACTGGTGTATGCTTTTCCCCAATTTTGCTATTCCATTTGGATGACTTTGACTGAATGCAGTCCTTGTTTTCTGATAATCTTTTCATTTTTGAAACATTAAAAACTAGGTATTTTATTGTTAAAAGTTGCAACCGAGAAAATCTGGAAATTTCTGTTCAGCAAGGTGTTTGGGCAACCCAAAGGAGTAATGAAGCTAAATTAAATGAAGCTTTTGAATCTACAGAGAATGTTATTTTAATATTCTCAGTCAACAGAACTCGGCATTTCCAGGTAGGCATAATCACCAGTCTCTGCTAACTTTCCACAAACCTCATATAATATTCTTAAAAAAATTGTTTTAGTTTGGTACATCTATATACTTTATTGCACTTGACTATGCTGAACACATAAATATCTAATGTTTTTTGTTTCCTCTTTGATTTGTTAAGGGATGTGCTAAGATGACATCTAAAATTGGTGGGTTTATTGGTGGAGGGAACTGGAAGTATGCACATGGAACAGCACATTATGGCCGGAATTTTTCAGTCAAATGGTTAAAGGTATGTTCCTTCTGTCGCAATGTCATTGCATTAAAGTCAGATGTGTGTTTGTATGGATGCTGGAAAACTTTTATTGGTTTACTGATCGTTGGTTTAGAATCTCACATCAGAAGCAACCTCAACTCTCCCTAACCCCCACACCCGCGCCCCTCACAATAAAAAAAAAGAAAGAAAAAAAAAGAGGTGGAGAAGAAGAAGAAGAAGAAGAGAAAGAAGATTAAAAGGAAAAAAGAAAAAAGAAAATTCTCAACGCCACTAGAAAGAAAGAAAAGAACACACGCTCTCTTTCCTTTCCCTGTAAATTTTTTTTGTAAGCCCTAGATGACCCTATATGATTTTTGATTTTGCAATAACTTTTACATTATTTTGCAAATTATGTACTCATGTGCAAGCAACAATCTGTTTTCAGTGTCAGTAACCTCATTATGCAATGTCAACAATTATATTGTTATTATATTGTTCTTTCACTTGATTTTCTTCCATTTTCTGAAATAAGCCGAGTTCTTAAACTCTTGTAATACCAAGTTGCTCATCGGGTCTGCTCATCTAAACAAGGTTAACTTTGTGGCCTGAGGTTTTGTGATTGATGAACACCATATAAATTTTGAATAAAATTTGACCTTACCTGGTAGCTTGGGATCTCTCATTGATAAAAAAGTACTTTTAGGCTTGTGTAAACATGGTCAACATCAATTTTCTCTTCCTCTCATCTATGATGACCATACACGTGAGCTAGACCTCCTTTCTTTGTCAACTAATTTTAGCCTAGTGTATGAGGGGTTGAGGTAAACCCCATCTGCACATAATAAGGCAATGTAAATTCTAATGTTATATCTGAAGCAGAGTGAACAAGTTCACTGGAATCATGTGCAGTAGCTTAGGCATCACACCAAATTGAGAACTCAATAAAAACTCTGTATGGATATCATAGCATTGGCTACCGCTCAATATAGCTTTGCATGGAGGCGGTTTTTTAAACTTACAGAGCTAGGAGGCCAATAATCTTTTTTGCATTAAGATCTATCAACCTTGCTTGCAAGTTGGGCTTTGTCGTTTGGAACATCCAAGCCTGATACTATCTTGCACACCAAATCAATATCCTGTCTGTTTGAATTTGTCTTCGAGAAACCGTAACTCCTAGTTGTTAGCAAATTGTTAGCAAACTAAAACTCATATGTATAATGTTTTTTTTTTCAGATGCTAAGATTACACACCTGATAGTTTGATAGCTTTATTCAAGGGAGAAACATGTGCTCCTAGGCATGCAAACAATTGGTATATGGATGACAAGTTCATGTGCATCTGCACAAAGGCTTGACTTGAACTTATAGTTAACAAAGCCTTCATACTGCAGAAGGAGTCTGCATGTGGAGGTAACTGCGGGCGTAATCTTGGGCCAAACTTTTCAGGCATTAATGAAGAATGCTCACGGTGTTTGATGAGAAAGATGATTGTAGCTAATACACATTTTCTTGCAAAATTTGAAGAAAGAATAACGTCTCTTGTGAACTTAGTATTATTAAATTTATGGATTTTCAGATGATGACAGAATCCAAGTTATTTACATTTATCTGTAATCATATTTTGGAAATTAATTAATTTCTCAGTGCTCGGTGGTTTTGTACTCTTTTACTTTTTGTAAACTTTTGGATGTTCCTTTCTTAGTTGTTTAATGCTTTTGTTTTGAGTGGCATTGCATGAATTTTCCTTTTGTTAGTACATGTAGTCCTTTGTTTGCTGTAAAAGACATATATCCTCTCTATACTGACTCCATGTTTTGATTTTTAACTCCTAGCTATAAGAATTTCATAACATTGTTTGTATTGCAGTTGTGCGAGCTGTCATTCAATAAAACACATCATCTCAGGAATCCATATAATGACAACCTACCAGTGAAGGTATGATATTGATATCTCAAAACCTGAATTGTCAAGGCTCTTTTTAATAATGACAACCTACCAGTGAAGGTATGATATTGATATCTCAAAACCTGAATTGTCAAGGCTCTTTTTAACAGTTTATTTGTGTGCCATATATCTACATTACCATGCATTTCTATTTGAAGAATCCATATATTATTTGAGACAATGCTTTTTTAGCTATTTGGATGGAAACATAGTATGATCATTATGAAAGAGCGACCATTTGCTAGAAAAATATGTGAGGCTTTTATGTTTGTAAGGTACTCAAAATTTGGATGAATTACAATTATATAGCCATCCTGTGTAGTAATACTAATTTATTATTATCATTATCAATGTTTTCACTTGCTAGAGAGGGTGATGCTACTTTACTATTATGTAGATCATTCCTGCATACACTATGATGTGTTAGAGTTGACTGGGCCTGATATTACAGCAGATGAACAAAGAATTTCTTCAAGTAATCTACATTTTACAAGCATTATCAGTGATTATCTGATCATTTTGTTCCATTTGACGATATTTTGCTAGTATTACTTTCTAGAAAGGGCAGCCTCTGGGTTCTAAGCATTTAGCCGACAGGGTGGTGGAGACTAAATTATTTTCGTTTAACTGGAATTTAAAAAAAGATTTGAAAACGCCAATTGTATTACTATTGGATATGCAAATTTTTATTGAATTTATGTACTGGCAGATAAGTCGTGATTGCCAGGAGCTGGAGCCTTTTATTGGTGAGCAGTTGGCTTCTATGCTTTATCTTGAACCAGATAGTCAACTCATGGTATGTTTTTTTAATTTATTATTATTATCATTATTATTTTAACATTTTGTTACTTCCAAACAGATCATGTTTGTTTTTTATGATTGTCTCACTCATTTAAGACCCCATCTTGGCATTTTTAATTTGTGGTTATCAAATGGTGGATAGAAGCTTTAGGATTTTGGCTGGCGATTGAACATGTGAAGTTTAACTATTAAATTACTAAGAACATTCTAAGATATACATCATATTGATGTCTAAGAGACTTTCTGTTTTATGGATCAATCATTTACTATGTAGTACCATGGGTACTTCCATCTGGAGTCGTACCCATTTCGTACCCGTACCCAACACCGGAACTTTAGTGAAGACTCCTTGGATATTTGCCTACACTTATTCAAATGCACTCAATTATATAATACATGTTTTAAGTTAAAGCAGTCGTTATATACTTCTTGGATGTATATTCTACATTTCACATGCAAATTTTGAACCTCATTGGCCATAAGTTTGGTTCGATTCAGTGCGTACACACTTCAAAACTATAATTATAAAAGGTCTTTTGGATATCAAGTTAAAAAACGAGCAATTTTGTAACTATAGATCTGTATTATAAAAGAAACATATAAATGTTATGAGAATAAATTTTATTTAATAGCATGTGAAATGAGAAAAAAATGGTCTCATGTAAGTTATTATCATATATGCATGTATGTGTAGCTGTGTCCCCGTATCCTCCCTTTACAAAATTTCCATGTCCAGCACCCGTATCCGTGTATCTTAGATCATTCATCATGGGGTGAGACTGAAGGATAGTTATCATTTATCATCAGGTAAAACTGGATATTATAGGATGAAGTACCACTGTGAGTATTATGTGAAAGTAGCCCTTAACCTGGAATTTTATAAGACAACTGACATCTATAACCATCTTGCTCTATGCTTCAGCATGGTGGCAATTTGGAAACATGTCTGAAAAACAATTATAGCTCAAATAAAATGTTTAAGATGCATGAGTGGCAAAATGCTGTACGACTGGAAATGGATGCATGCTTAAGTTTGAGGTCAGCCCAGTGGCTTCAGTTGAGGATCATTTGATATGCTAGAGGGCCAGGAGTTATTGTCTGGAGCAACCGAGTTTTTTTAAGAGGTTTTTTGGGGGTTTTTTTTGGTGTGTGTGTGTGTGTTGGGGGGGGGGGAAAGAATATGAACCAAATATGATAGTTGAAAGGAGGCGGATCTTAACAATGGAGCAAAAAGAACCTAATGTAGTGAACCATGAGTTGATCTCAAGATCTTGGCTATTCATTTCTTTGTGCTGCTCCAATCAGTTATGAGCCATGAGTTGTTCTCATTGTTCTAGACTGTACTATGATATGTTGAGCATCAATGTAAATTTTTGTGGCATATGGTGCTCTCCTATGCGAAGATGGAAGTTAACATTTTAGTGGTTTCTTATTTTGAATAAAGTAGGAGGGGGGTTTTAGGGTTTTCATCCTAGCAACCATCATTAAGGGGAAGGAGAGATTGCTATTTTTTTGACAAATTTATATGAATTTAATACATAATTTTTATCAATTATTATAATTAAATAATTTAAACATTAGCCAAACGCCTAGGCGTCTAGGCGCCGGCTTAAACGCCTAGTCCGCCTAGCGCCTTCTTTAACATTGCTGCATAGTCAGTCAAAAGTAGGAGGGGGGTTTTAGGGTTTTCATCCTAGCAACCATCATTAAGGGGAAGGAGAGATTGCTATTTTTTTTGACAAATTTATATGAATTTAATACATAATTTTTATCAATTATTATAATTAAATAATTTAAACATTAGCCAAACGCCTAGGCGTCTAGGCGCTGGCTCAAACGCCTAGTCCGCCTAGCGCCTTCTTTAACATTGCTGCATAGTCCAATTTCAGTTAAACCGAGCCACTGAAGGTCTAGAGTAGGCTTGCCAAGTTGATAAGTTGATACCATCTTGGGCTGTGACATGCATTGTCAGGCCTTTCCTGTAATGCATTTCAGGTTCTTCCCAAGAATAGTAGAGGGCAGAATCTATTTGTTTTATCACTGTTTCTTCATTGTTCCAATATTCAAGCTATAACTGAGTTTTCTTCTTTTCTAGTGGAAAATTTAAATAAAATGAATTAAATTGTGGATCAGGAAATGTTAATAGCTGCTGAATCCAAGCGGGAAGAGGAGAAAGCAAAAGGAGTGAGCAATGACGATGCATCAGATAACCCAGATATAGTGCTGTTCGAGGATAATGAAGAAGAAGAAGAAGAAGAAGAGAGTGAAGAAGAGGAGGATAGCATAGGACAGGGTGGGGCGCAAGGGAGAGGGAGGGGGAGGGGAGGGATGATGTGGCAAGGCCACATGCCCATGGCCCGTGGAGGAAGGCCATTCCTCCGTGGGTTTCCTCCTGTAATGATGGGCGGTGATGGGTTTGGGTACCCTGACAGCTTTGGGACACCAGACATGTTTGGTGTTCCTCCAAGGGGGATGATGTTTGGAGGCTATGGCCCTAGATTTGGCGGTGGTGACTTTGGTGGAGGTGGGATGATGTTTCCTGGTAGACCTCCCCAGCCTGGACCTGTCTTTCCAATGGGAATGGGGGGTATGATGATGGGAAATGCTAACAGGCCACCGTTCATGGGCGGAATGCCAGGAGGCATGGGTCGGCCTGGTCGACCATCACAGTTATCGCCTTTCCTCCATCCTCAGCCACCACCACTACCTAACAACAACAACAACCGAATTGTGAAGAAGGAACAGAGTCGAACGGCAAACGACAGCAGATATGAGGTAGCAACTGAAGGTGGTGGCGGGGATAAGTTTGTGGGATCAAGGAGCAGTCTTCAAAATGAGGAGAGCGAGAGCGAGGATGAGGCGGCACCAAGGAGATCAAGGTATGGAGAGGGTAGTAAGAAGAAACGATGGGAATCTGAGGCTGAAGCAGGTTCAGAACAGTGGGAGACACCGGGGCCTGAGCCTCAGAATCAATGAGGACGATGGTGCTAAGAAGAAGAAGAAGAAGAAGAAAGACTAGTCTGAAGTAACTTCAGAATCAACGAGGAGAGGCAACAGCGGCTGAACCAGCTCGAAACAACGAGGAGAGTTTTCTTTGGAATCTCTCGGATGTTTTTTTATAAAAATTTTCTTTATAATGTAATATTGTTCATCCATGTCATTCCATCATGTGCTTGGGAGGTTGAGAGACTGTTCATGGTTTCTGACTTTCGAGGGGATGCTGTTTACAAACGTGATAGATGTGTATATTACTGCCTATGGCATGAAGCGACCAACCTTAATATACAATGGAGCCTATGGCATGACAATATATTATGAAAACTGTAGATGTTACATCGCATGCAGGCAAACTCTACCGGTAATGGGAGAAACTGTGCAGTAACTTCCCACTTTTTGATTTACTGGGTAACGAATCGTTGTTTATGATTCACAACAGAAGCATTGCCGTTCAAGTTTTTATTTTTATTTTTTTTGTGTGCAACTTCTTCTTTCTAACAAATTTCTTTGTTTTTTTTCCTCTGCTAATTAATAAACTCGAAAAAATAAAATAAAATAAAATAAAATAAAAGCCCTAACTTAGCAGAGTCAGGTCGTGCAAAACTGGATCCTAACAAAGAGGTGGAAAAGGAGGATATCAGAGCTGAAGCCATGCCGGCATTCAGATAAAATCCTCAACTTTGCTGGAACGTATCTGGAGAAATTCGATTCATGCAGATAAACTGTTGCTGTTCAACATTTCTTATCAATTGGTTTTTGTTTATTTTTCAGTAATGAAAGAAGAAGCTGACGACAGTGATGAGTTCCTGTAACATCAGCAGAGGAATTGTAATCAATCCAAAAGGAAAGGCAAAACCTGAGGGGGCCGGGTTAAGCTTCAATCCCTCTCCTTTTTCTTCTCCTCTATTCTTCCCCCAAATTATATTAAATACATTTACATATATACTATATATTCATATGAGAATTAATGGATCCATGGGTAACAAATACATAGGACAGAGAAACGGTGTTAAGAAATAAATAGCATGGAGTTTCCGCCGAGCACGAGCACAACCCTGAGCCAGCAAAAGAAGAGCATCACGAAATCCCTCAGGGCGCAACATCAACGACATTCAGCCACAACAGAACCACTTCCGCTGCATCCAAAAATTCATCAACAAAACTAACCTGTTACCGAATGAAAGCAAACATGCTATCCAGGGAGTTTGATTATCTTGACTCGATCAGATTAAAATAAAGAGGTCAAAAGTTTAGGTTTAAGGGTCTTCGTGGCCATATCCTCCGACTACATTAAGGTTGTTTCTCTGTGGTTGTGCAACTACAGCTGGGTTGTTGTTGGTCTTCTTTTCATCTCGAGCTTTGTTGAATATAACTGTGAACCCCTCGGCTGATGCAGGATTGTTCACATCCCACTCTCCAAATTTGGGCAGTGGTCGACCCTTGTCCTGCTCATGTCACACATTTTCTCAGAAAGGGACAACTTTTATTATTATTATTATTATTGAAATGAAAAACAAGCATTAAATATATGAGAAGAATGACATCTTTTTTAATTCGTTGATATACGATGCATGCTACAAGAACTAGCAACCCAGTTTGTTCCAAAGAATCACCTAACATAAAAACAATTTCAGCTTGCCCTACAAATATTTCATGATGATCTTCTTTTCTATTATTGGAAAGACACGAAACGGAGCATGACACTTGTTTCATTATAGAGCGACAATGCAGCTAAATACACAGTACGCATAAGGAGAGAACTCCCTGTAGTACAATCATGCTCGGAATTTATTAGAAAACTCCAGTAGCATGAGAGGTCGCAAGTACTTATCATAGGTTGACACAAATGTTGGGTTAGTATTATCGAAGAGCATACCAGCCATGTCGCAAGCACTTATCACAGTTTGATGCAAATATTGGGTTCGTATTATCGAAGAGCACGCCAGCCATCTGAAACGGAGATAACTAACTACCGAGAGGAAAATGTATAAAACTGAGTATCCGGAGTACATGCCTTACAAATGCTTGCCCCTTCTATGCAAGCCTGTAGGGCTTTCAAAGTAAACGATGCAAATTCAGTTTGTTAATTTTCTGCGCCTGCGTATATGCCAGGCACTAAGCATCGGTAAATAGAAGGGTAAGAAGGCACAGGCATGCCCGGTATTGTTGAGTAAGGGTACAGGAAAGTATTAATCGTGTCCACAAATTAATTAAGAATATATATAAATGTCCAATCATTATATAATAAATAAATGAATTGCGTAATCATAAAGGAAATGCCGATTCAAGAGCAAAATCGTATTAGAAATTAGCCATTGCCTATTGGATTGGATGTTCATTTTTGAGAGAAGGCATCAAAGCTCCAAAGGTCTTGGAAGATAAATTAGGCATAGATATCAGCCCGAAGAAACTACTCACAACCCAGGCATTTAATTATTCTTGAAGTTCATTCATAAAGTACCATATCGTAGGAATCCTCACGATCAGAAACATTTCGCGAAACAATTATATGGGAAGAGTGTTTTTCCTTTTTCTTTTTTTTTGGGCGGGTGGGGGGTGGGGGGTAATTCGCAAAGATTTGCTAAATAATGGAAGGAATTGCATTAGAAAATGGAACAACGTGAAATTAATAGGTATCTTTATTTACTTCTGCAAAGTTTCATGAGGAATTGATATATCCCTCATTCATATCATTTGAGATAATATTAGGGAGCAATCAGATGGGAGAAGACCACCAAAAAAAAAAAAAAATTCCCCAAAATCGGACCTACCTAACCACCAGTTCCCCAAAATTAAAATTCCCAACAAATGCAAATTGATCCAAGGCTGCATCTTCACCAAATTTCCAATTCTAAGCAGAAAAAAACGAGTTGAGAGAATTCTCTCAAATTTAAGTAGTTTTTTTCCGCCGTAACTAAATCAATGTATTCCGGGGTTCACGCATGCTAAAAGGCAAGGAAAAAAAAAAAACTTTTTCCGTAAAATGGATCGAAAAAAAAAAACATAATATAATTGGTTAAGACGTTAAAAAAGAAAAAGAAAAAGGAAGAAAGAAGGGTGGGCAGGCACGTACCATTGCCATTATGGATAAAAATGGGGAGAAAGAGAGAGAGAGATTTGGAGATAGAAGAAGAGAGAAAACGGATCTCCCTTTTTTTTTCTTTTTTCTTTTTATTTTCTTTTTCCTCCCTTTCC